GGGGGCGGCCCGTCTGCCCCGCGCCTCCGGGGGAGGCAAAGCCAGGAGAGCCCCGAAACGACTGAGGGGGCGAAGGGCCCCGGATTTGCGCGGTTTCACCCAAATCCCGTCCTGGGGGAGCGCTGGGGGCGGTCGCTGGGGCACGAAGCCCCTGTGCTGCTTCGAGCTGCTGCTGGGCGGTGGTGGCAGCTCGGGGTGCGTGCTGGGGTTTCTAACCCAGTCTGTTTGGGGAACGTTTGGTGTGTTTTTGTCAAAAAGAGTTTGGGAGCATTTCATGGCGCAAACCCCACGAGGCCGTAGGTGCGAGGTGGCAGCTATAATGGCATTCGTGGCAAGTCGGAGACTGGTTGGGCAACAAGCTCGCTCTGCCTCTCCCGCTGCATTGGGTGAGCAAATACACCAGTACTGGTGTCAGGTCAGATAAAACTCATTCTCCTCTTTTTTTCCCCCAGGTCAGAGTCCCAGTGCCGTGGAGGATATGCTGGATGTAGAGAACAAGCGTATGGCAGACAGCCTGGCCAACAAGGTCACCAGGCTGAAGTCGGTGAGTTGGCGAGTTCACACCAGGTGCTGCGGTGAAGGAAGGACAGGGCATCAGTTATCTAGGTTGTTCGTGCAGGGTCTTGCAGGCAATGCAAGCCTGTGGTCAATACAGAGGGCTTCCTGTCTATTAATGACTCTTAGTTGTTGGTGATATAATGGTTAACTTTCACTTGTGAAATGCCAGGGTCGGCTTTATGAATTTCCACTTTCCTTTTGAGGTTTAGCGACATCATCTAATGGGAATGATGTGGTTTTCGCGGCACTCAGGGAAGGAGTTTTAGGCACAGAGAGGAACATAAAAGCTGCACAGAGGGGTATTGCTAAGCACGCCTCCTCAGGGAAAAAAGTCACAATGAAGAGGCAGGTAAATTAGTTTTGAAAAATACACGTCTTTATGTAAGTGGTGTTCTTAAAGCTAGTTTGCTCCTACTAACATGAAATACTTTGATTTAGAGCTTATAGAAGTCAGTGACTGGCCTTGTAGAAGGTTTTTGTTGTGTCCCAGCGTTTAAATGCTCCTGTCCTATATATGACAGTTTCAGACAGTCAAGCTTTATTTTCAGTGCTTCAGAGCTGAAAAAGTTCAACAACCTGAAACCAAAATGAGAATCTTGTTTTGTTCCTCTACCGAACAAGCCTCTGTCTGTCTATGTAGGGGACAGGGAAGCAGTGGCTTGCTTTTCAATGTGCATTTCAAATTTTACCAGCACTAGGAAAGAGGTTCTCTCTACATTAAAAGTTCATTAATAACTGTTTCCTCCCTTACCCTGTGTAGCTGGCTCTGGATATCGACAAAGATGCTGACGAACAAAACCGTTACCTGGATGGCATGGTAAGGAACCAATGAAATGTAAAAAGCATGACTTTTTTGCGCTGGCTTTCAGCAGTTACCTTAACTGTGAAAGTTTAATAGCAGTTCAAAGTTAGCAGACAAAGTTAGATCCCAGTGGTCGGTTTGGCAAACCAGGAAATGTAACTAAACCTGTTTCCAGTGGACTTCTTGATATATAAACATCAGATACTTAGCAGCTGCTAGTATCGCTTTGTCGGAATGGGCGACACAGTTGGTATCTAGCACGTGGAAAGACTGATCTAGGACAGCACACTTCAGAAGTACAGCGGAGATTACCTCCTTACTGGGGTTAAAGAGCTGCCTCCTGTGGCTAATGCTGGGAGATGGGCCTGTTCCTCAGCTGCTCCTGTGATTTTTGGTATTGCTGTATAAATCTGTCAGGGTTACTTACTGTAACACCTGAAACACAGGCTACCTGTCGGAACTTTGTAGTTCACTGACGTTTTTCGAAAGAGCAAAGCTGATGCTCTGGGTCCACTCAGGTTGTTCGTTGCCCTGTTCTGTCATCTTTCTGACACACAACACCCGATAAAACCAAAATTGCTTTCCCAAGTAATCTGCCTCTAAAGCTTTGGTTGTTGATGGAAAATCACAGTGCACTGGGGAAAGGCCAGAATAGCACATTCCTGTAGCAGACAGGTTACCTGCTGAGGCTTTTTAGGAGAAAGGTAATTCGTTAACTGAATTGTGAGAGGAAGGGAGTCCAGCCCAGAGATTTGAGAAGGAGATTAGCACCATAACACTGGTGCTTGGAGAGCCTTTTCTGCATGTGCTGGATGTTGGAGAGCTGGTGCGTGGAAGCAAGAGAAACGATAATTGTATTGTTGAAACCAGTTGAGTCAAAGGTGTAAGTTCAGCTTGGGAGCTTAATAACGGTGGATGCTGACAGTGTTAGAGTGTCTGAAATGGATATTTGCTCAGCCCAAAAATTAGGAGAATGGAGAATCAGAATAAACGGTGTAATGGCAAAAGACCTTAAAGGAGAAGCCCTCAATCAGCAAGAAATTGCGCTTCTGTTACAGAGAAGGTTTTGAAGCATTTCAGGAGCAACATGAGCAGAAGCTCCGAGTAGTTTGTGGATAAGGAAACCAGACCAGAAGTCAAAATGAAAATGCCTGAACTGCATTAATCTGAGAATTGTTTGCCATCCTCTGGCAGAGTGGCACATGCATGCCATCCCATGCTGAAGAAAAAACAGAACTAATGGCAAGAAATTGCTCCTTTTTCTGTGCTTGTGAGCCTGCCCCGGTGTGCATTAATGGCACTAGCTTCATGTAGGGACATGTCCTTTGGATGAAGCGTTCCCTTGTAGAGTTGCTGTTAACAAGCTGTTCCAGGCAGAATAAGCTGCATGAGTACAATTGAACAGTCCAGCAGCAGGTAGTTTGACCCTGTTTTGAAAAAGGGGAGGCAGTTTGTTTTAGATTTGCAACAGACCTTCCCCTGTCTTTCTTGTTTCCCTGTTTTGAGCAAGGTGGGAATGGCACTGCTCCTGGAGCTTTCCCTGTTTTGAGCAAGGTGGGAATGGCGCTGCTCCTGGAGTCTGGGCACAGGAGGGGAAGGACCTTCTGAGAGAGATGGGCAGCTACTGTGCAGCTCCCTGTGCAAATGTTTTTTAGCCAGGAAGTGGGAGATTCTTCAGAGATATCTTCATCTGTTTGTAATGCCTCCATCTTAATTTTCTTTCTCATTCAGGATTCAGATTTTATGAGTGTGACTGGCCTGCTAACCGGCAGCGTGAAGCGTTTCTCCACCATGACGCGGTCCGGGAGGGATAATCGCCAGTTGCTCTGTTCTGTTTCAGTTTTTTTTTGTTGTTTTCTTCATCCTCTACTATCTTGTGTCCAAAGCAGGGACTTGAGCTTGTTGTTTTGCAAGTTTTACAGAACAAAAAACACAACGATTGACAGACTTGTTGAACGCCTTTCTCAGTTTACCCTGTGGTGGAGTCTTTGAGATGTTCCAGACAGACCTTCCAAATAACTTTTCTTTCCACCAGCTTCTTCTCATGGCTGGTCTCAGACATCTCTTTATAAAATGAGTATGTTTGATTCTAAACGGATTTTCATGTATAACACGATTTTGATGTTGTTAAATGCTTGCGCCTTTATCTCTTGCCTTGCTGTCCATGTCTTGCGGCCTATTTTTAAGGGCCACTTTTGTGTTGCCTCCATTACTGATACTCAGTACTAGGCTTGTGAGGAGATGTGGCTGACAAATCCAGAGACTGTCGATACTCAGAAGTTTAATAAACCAGCCAAGCTTTGGAAGTTGTCGAGTTTAGGGTGCTGATTTATGAGATTTGGAAGTATGAATGTGTGACTTACATTCCAGTGTGGCCTCTCAGCTGATACCTGGTCTCAGTTTCCTCTTGGCTTGGAGACCTGTTAATATCCTTGGTGTCCCTGGATTGAAATGAAATCTCTACTGCTTTGAAATGAAACTAGCAGTAGATCTGGACCCTGATACTCTCTAACTGTTGCAGTGAAGAGTTGCAGAGGAGCAAGACTTTATTTAAATGCTAGCTTGGTCGTCTTTATCATCCTTCTGGGTAAAGCTGGGGATGAACCCTGCCAGAAAGGAGGGCCAAAGTCCGTAAGCCACCTTGATTTACACACGTAGAGTATCTTCCAGTACCTTCCCACACACTTGCAAATGCACTCCCTTAAACTATTAAATCAGCGTAAAGAAAATCTGATGGCAAAAGGTCCAGTTAATTTCAGTTATTATGGTACCCTGGTATTAGAGCATTTGGGGAAGATGTTGTGCAAATAAAAGCAGAGGTTGAGGTCAAGTGAGCCTCCTAAATGGTGGTGTTAGGGTGGTGATGGGAGGTCAGGGAAGGATTTGATCGGAGGGTTGATTTGTTTATTTATTCCTGTAGAAGGTAACCTAAGAAACTCTTGCTTTGCCTTTCATAGTGCTTTGGGGATCCCTGCCTGCAGTGCTCGTGTGAGATGTGTGGCAAGGCACATCCCTGCCAGTTTTGTTTACAAAGCAGTCATTCCTGATGAACGTGCAGTGCGTGCCAGATTTCCTCTCCCAAGGTGGTGCACGCAGCTCTGGGAGTGCGGTAGCTGGGAACTCCATCTTCCCTTCACCCTCCCTGCCTTTCGTTGGGCTGATCATTGGGCTGCTCACTTACGTCATGACCCCGGCTCTATTCTTCCTTAGCTGAATCATTTAAGTCTGCCTATGATTGAAGTAAGAGATCTGTAACTTTAAAAACACTGTGCCTGTTGGGAGAAAGAAAAAAGAATTTAAAATAAAACGCTCTTTGTCTCTTCAGACAAACCTCTGGTTTTGCCTGTTGTATAAACCTTTCGCTTTCCAAAGCAGCTGAGCAGAGCCATTCTGTTTCATCTTGTCTATTTCTGTACCAATCACTCATGTGTTCTGGTTTTCCTTTCTGAAAGTCTTCGCTTATTTGCTTCTCTTATCTTCCTGTAACAACCACCTCTGCAGGACTAAAGCATTCCTCGTCTGATTTTGCAGTCTTTCTCCTCTCCAGCAAGCCCGTATTCATCAATGGCTGGATGTTTCCTTTGGCCTTCCCCTTGTACCCATTAGGAATTCCTTTGTCCTTGGACTAACCTGGGTCCAGATCTGTAAATGGGCTGCGTTGTCCTTTGTTCCAGCTGCACCAAACCGCTAACAAAATACTACCCTAACTGGATTGGGTGTCTTTTTTTTTCCACATTTGGGAAAAAATGTGCAGGGAAAGCAAGTAGAAAGGAGGCAGCAATGACTTTCTCTGGTTCTTCTTCCTGCTTCTCTGATAAGATGTGGCAGCTCCAAACTCTTTCCATTTGGAAGAATGATGGGTGAATTGATGGACTTTGTTTTGATTTTCTGAAGCAGATGACTTCTGATGAAAGGCCACTGGAACAGCCTGGTCTTCATAATGGTGGTGGTTTTGGTTTGCTTTTACTGTTGTAAATAAAGATCTGTTTTTAGAATTTTTTGCTCAAGTGTTTTTTTCCTTGTGTTTACGTGTTAGCAAGGCTAAATACCAAGATCAAATCACTCAGTTGTTCTGCTTGGACAGTAGAGAACCTGCTGCCTCAAAGGCCAATTTCAACGTTAACCCGAGAAACAGTGCATCTGCAATGAACTGAAATAGGGAGATTTGAGCAGAGCCGCCCTAGCTCAGAAGGAACAGGTCATTCATTGCTCTGCAACATCTGCCCGTGCCGTTTCAGAAGATGACTTGTATCTCCAGTATTCTCTCTGAACAAGCGATACTTCAGAAGTTGAGCTGCAGGGGGAACTGTCTTTAGTATCTTTCTGTGTTGGTCTGGGTCCTAAATGGTCCAGCTGTTAGTCCAGGTTTGACTTGGCTTTGGCCTTTCTTTGCAAAGGAAACCTTTTCTTATTTTTCATGCTTTCCTCTGATCCTTTGAATTCCTCTAGAACTCAAAAAAGGGACTTAAAAAATATATACTTAGTTAACTGCAGGAGTTTCAAACTGAAAAATTGAAGTTAAAGGTTCTTGAACCTCAAGTGAGTTGTGCCCCGCTGATTCCCGTCCTAGCGCAGCCACGCGCTTGGAGGCCGCATCTGTAGGGCTCTGTGGGCACTGCGCACTCTCCTCCTGCTCCGGGCATTTCTCCAGGCTCTTGCCTCGGGCTGCTGCTGCCTGCTTCTCCCGGCGGGTGCCCGTCTCCTGTTGGTGCAGTGTTCGCCACCATTAGGCGTTAGCATGTGGCTGGAGCAAAGGCTTCAATGCGCAAAGGAAGCTGCGTAAGCATTACCAGGCAATGAATTCCATCGGGGGGATTTATCTGCGTGTAGAGTCGCGTTTTGGGAACCGGTTATAGCACTGAAACCGTGCTCAATCCTCTGAAACTTAGAGCTGCAACATTAAGAAGTTCTTGGAAAAATGAGTTAGGACGTGTAACGTGAAGGCATGTTGCAAAAGAATCTTGCGCAGCAGCAAACGTGCTGAGGAAGTGCAAAATCTGAGAGAAGGAAGAATTCAGAATACAAGTTAATCACGACGATAGCAACACAGTAGTTGAAGGCAGCACAACGATAGGGTGCAGGATCAAATATGTAACAGCATTAGCGTTGGGATGTACTTTCGTGAAGATACCCCGCCACCCAGCCCTTCAACATTTTCTAAACATTTAGTTATTTGAGTAATTTGTTTATTTTGGTTTCAGTGCTCGCCCATAGTGCTAATATTACAATGTTTTTTCTGAGGCATAAAAATTAGAGAGAGCAGATCTTCCTCACACACACACCCAGCTCAAGGTGAACGTACAAAATATTTGGGGGTGTTTTTATTGAAGTTGTAACAAACCAAGAATTAGAACGCAGCTGTGAACTGTTATTTTAAGTGTGGTTTTGCAGCGCCATCTAAAGGTGCATCTCCAAATCGTTACGGGGACTCGTTACATACAGAATAACTTTTATTTTTCTTGAATGCTAATGCCACAATTAACACACTAGCTAAAGTGTATAACATGCAGCTCGGATCACTGCAGCAAACATCAAAAAAATTATTTGGTAACAATGGATGAAATACCAAAAGTAATTACTTTCTGAATCCATATGCTCATAGTCTTTTACTGGAATTAGTAGAATGCAGTTAATTGTCTGAAGATGGGATTGCAGGTCTCAGGGAAGCTGCAGGTGCCTGAGGCTTGATCAGCGTCACCTAGAAGGGGAAAAGTGAGAAAAAAACCACAAAGTATGACCTTGTTCTCAAGAAGAGTTGTTTTTGGTGACAGCCGTCCGGCGTGACAAGTTAATGTACGTATTTGCCCTTTGTCATGCGTTGCTGTGTGCATGCCTGGGCACTTTTAGCTAGCTCCCCCTGTTCCGGTGGCACGCTTGTTGGAAACCTCCTGTGTTATCGGGACGTTTCTGATGGTCTGCTGCTGTTACCGATTGGCATCTCCCCCCTTTTTGGAGAGGAATGTAAAGGCAAGAGAAAAGAAGTTCAGGGGCGGGTAAAATACACCCCTCGAGTGTTTTTAGAAGGCCTCTGAAAGGAAAGATCTTGTCTTTGAGGCAAATTGGAGTGACATGCCCGCTCTGTCCCCATCCCCGATGCCTGCATCCCTGACCTCCCTGGTGTCTCCGACACCCCCCTCCCCGATCCCATCCCCAGCATCCCCCATTGCCAGCCCTGGATGAGGAGGAGCACGAGGGCAACTGGAGGTGCCGGGGGGATGGGACG